TCAAAAATGCCATTCTCTCATGAATTAAAACCAAAATGTGCCCACTGTGCCTAGGGGAACAGCCTTACGACCCAGAGTGGATTAGTTAGAACACTGGATAGACAGGAAGATCATAAGTCGTTAGCAAAGAAACAGACTTACTGGAGTGGATAAATTCGATGTCTTTACCATTAGGGTTGGGTGCTAGAACACATAAAATCGGAGCTGAAGTGAGAGACTATGCAGGAAAAGCCAAGAAAAAAAACACAAAACCAATGTTTGGGAAACCCATGACTCTACAATCTCACATTTCTTCCAGAACTTTCCAGGAAATAATTTACTATGATGAGTCAGTTCTAACCAGGCACCACGTGCCGGGCTGGGAACACTAGTCCAGGAACTCACTATGAGTTTCAGGCCAGCTCCGCCCCAGATCTGGAGCATCTGAGAAGTTTTGGGGCCAGCGTGCAACCCTGCTCTGTGCACCAGCCAGACCTCCCCTCGGAATGGGTCTGCTAGCCCGATCTCTCCCCAAAGCTGCAAGAAGCATTTTCAAAGAATAGTTTCCGGGCCAGGCGTGGTAGTTCACGCCTGTAATAACTGCACTTTGGGAGGCCAAGGCGGGCGAATCACCTAAGGTCAGGCGTTCGAGAGCAGCCTGGCTAACATGGTGAAACTCCATTTCTACTAAAAATACAAAAAATTAGCTGGGCGTGATGGCGTACGTCTGTAATCCCAGCTACTTGGGAGGCTGAGGAAGGAGAATCACTTGAACCCGGGAGGAGGAGGTTGCAGTGAGCCAAGATCACGCCATTGCATTCCAGCTTGGGCAACAAGAGTGAAACTCTATCTCAAAAAAAATAAATAAAAAATAAATAAAAAAGAATAGTTTGTGATGACTCAGATATAAGTCTAAAGATCATGCAGAAGTGGTAGCTGTCCCAACACTCTTTTTTAAGAGTGCTTTTTAATTCAATGATTTTCACTAAATTTACTGAGGTGTGCTGCTATCATCACTATCCAATTTCAGAACATGGTCATCTCCCCAGTAAGATTCTTCCTGTCCATTTACAGTTAATTCCCATTCCCACCTGAAGCTGAGGTTATGTGAGGGCCCTCTGTTTCCTCTATCCCCATGTCCTCACTTTATTTACCAGCACAACTGCATGGAGTAGTTGGTTACCTATGTGTTTCCTACTAAGTGACAACACCTGTGTGGTTAGCTACCATGTAGATGTCAGATACAAATGCACGTACACATACACCACCAACCAGGGAAGCAATGTGAACCCTCCCTATCCATCCCATCAGGAAAAAGGCCAACACTTCTGCAAAATGCTTCCAACCTGGCTATTGCAGGTATAGCCATGGTTTTCAAAGACTGCCGGAAAACTGAATATTATCCTTTACAATACATGTCATTTTAAAAAATCAATACCATTCAGACATTTAAACTAAGAATCTTGCCTGTGCTCCCTGAAGGTGATATTGGTGAATCCAGAGGTGAAAAATCATGAGAACATCAAGGAATTGAAGAAAATAACCATCATCAACTGGCTCCTGGAAAGCCAATTACATCCAATATTTTCTTAACATCAAAGGTTAAACATAGTTCTGGAAAACAGCAGGAAGAGAAACCAAGAAGCAGCTTTAGCTTGGCTCCTCTGCAGTCCTGTTACAGGTAGTTAGGTAGGCATGAGCAGGGCAGGAGAAGGCTTCCCACCCCACCCCAACTAGAAATGTCAGTGATGGTTTGGCATCATCTTTTTAAAAAGTGTAATTCCACAACCAGAGAGAGACAAGCTCCTGATGGCCCACACCTGTTAATATTAAAAGTTGTTAACTGAACGCAGACTCCAGGGAGAAACCGCTTCCTGGGCATGCATATTAAGAGACAAAAATGGCAAAGTATGATCTTCTGGGTATACTCCACCGGAAAAAGGAAGAAATCCTCAGATGGGCATGGGCATGCATACAACTCCCTAAACACACTGCACATGCTCAGTTCCCAAGGGTAAGGAGGGCTCTGCACATGCGGGAAGACCACCCGAAGGGAAAAACCATGGGAAAGAGGTGAGCTTATAACAGTCCCAGGATCCCCATTAAACAGGGCACATGACCTTCTCTCTTTAACCTTCAGGTGCCCTCTTGGGTCTCTTCCAAGCACACCTTCTTTCTTTTCTTTTCTAAGGCTTTTATAAATAAACTTCCATTCTTGCTCTGAAACATGCCTCAGTTTCTTTTGCTGTTTTATGTGCCTCAGTCAAATTCTTTCTTCTGGGGAGGCAAAGACTGAAGTTGCTATAGACCCGTTGGGATAGGCCGCGGGTAATCTGGGGTAACTCAGATCCCTTCCAGCGCTAAGAGTCTGAGGGACAAGTCGGTGTCTGCCTTCTGCTTCTTCCTCAGTGGTTTCCTGGGCGTTTCCCAGTGAGAAGAAATTTATGCACCATAGTTGAGATCCACCCTCTGGAGGTCAGAAAAGCTGCCCTAATCACTCATCGTGAACGGTCTCCTCCTGGGACTCTGTCTCCTGTGCATGGAGAAAATTAGCACTGGCGACTCTGAATCCATACTGAAAAAGCAGCCTGATGAGAGGAAACTAATCATACCTCCAAATATCCCTGAAATACATTTTAACGTAATGTGTGCCCACATCTCTTCTATTTTTTAAATATTTTAAGGTTAAATTGATTTTAAAAAACTACAGCAAAAAGGATTCAGACACACAAATAGCAGAACTTAATACTTTCTTTTTAAATTTTTCAGTTATGCAAGGGAATAGGCAGCATCTTTCATGGGGACGAGGCTCTTCTACTTAAAAGCTAGAAGGAAATTCCTCACTAATTTAGCCCAGTTGCTTAAAACTCTGTTCCATATGAACATAACATTTTCCTATTTTTCTCTCCTGATTCTACCCTCAGAATAACACAAAATACACTGTGACAAAATGTATACAACATTGGCTGGGCCTGCACCTCCTCATAAGGGAAAGGCACAAGAAAATGAAAATTTAAAGTCCCTACAGAGCTTTTTTCCCCCTTTGGAAGCATAAAAAGCAGACACTGTTAAATGCATGAGGTCCCACAATACCCCCCCGCAACCCCTGCAACACAGCTCATATAGTTTTGTATTTTCTGTATTTGAAAAGGAGAAAAAATAAGAGAGCTTTAAAAATACAGATTATTTAACCTGCTTTTAACTTTCTGTTTGGATAACCATTCAAATTAGACAAATTATGGGGACGAGAGTGACTGTAAAATAATGGTAGAAAACATTGATAATCTTGCAAAACAGACTTCTGACTAGGGAGGATTGCACTATATTAAACTGAAATGATTTCCACTATGGCTCCTAAGAATGAAAGCTTCAAAAGTAAATGTCAGGTTGGGTGTGGTGGCTCATGCCTGTAATTCCGGCACTTTGGGAGGCTGAGGTGGGTGGATCACCTGAAGTCAGGAGTTTGAGACCAGCCAATGGAGTTTGGCCAACATGGTAAAACTCCATCTCTACTAAAAGTACAAAAATTAGCTGGGTATGGTGGCAGGTGCCTGGAGGCAGGAGAATCGCTTGAACCCGGGAGGCAGAGGTTGCAGTGAGCCAAGATCGTGTCACGGCACTCCACTCTAGACTGGGCGAAAGAGCAAGATTCCGTCTCAATAAATAAATAAAGAAATGTCTAGAATCAGTTAACGAGATTTGTACATTACCTTAACTGAATTTCATTAATGATCTAATGTCCATACCTGAATTAACAGGCAGGAAATTAAAACTGGATTGCTACCTGGTGCTTCCGTACACTGAAGAGAACACTCCAATCTGCCAGCCTTACGATGTGGGGGAAACGCATCAAACAGTGCTAAGGTTTTAAGCACGGAGAATATAATCCAGTTATAAAAGCTATTAACCCAGAGAAGTTAATTCTTTGCTACTTGAAGCACACTAAGACAAAACATATCAAAGAGAAGACATATACCAGCAAATGTAAACCACATACAATTACAATACATAAATCATAACGCAGATAGAAATCACGGATCTCAGATGGCCAATGTCAGCCCATGGGTACATGCCCAATATTACGACCAACAGAAATTAAATCTCTGAAACAAAAAACTACAAGTGTGCATCCACAACATCCCACACACTTTAGGAAAACAGGCACTACACAATGTCATGAAAATTAGCTGACAGCTCAAGGTCTCTCATTATCAATGGCATGGATGTTTAAACTGGACTTTCATCTGACAATTAGTTTAGCAAGAACTCATTTTCAGACAGAAAGTCATTTAATCATGTTTAACATTAAATCAAAAGAGCCGATTCTATCATTGGGTCAATTTTCCACTAAATAATTACCATAGAAACAGTTAATTCCACACTCAAACAAGCAAGTAGTAATTCCAAAGCTTCCATATTGAAAAGCAGTAGAATTCTAACATGTATTACCACATACAAATTGTTCATCAAGAATATCACTGCGACCAATCTTTGTCCTGACAGGGAGGACCTCTTACATATTCTTTAAATAATAATAATCAAGAAACCTCCTTTTTCCCTATTCCCAAATTTTGGAGATTAACTCAAGTTCTACAAATAACATGACTATGATAACCCACTGTCAAAATCTTGAATTCCAGGTGTGCCTATTTTGAAAGTTCCTCTAGGAATATTCAACTGCAGCACAAGGATTTTAAAATAATACCATTTTTTATACCGAAAGACAAGGTATATGATACTGTAAAGCTTTCCCCTAATTCAGCCTATTCCATTTTCACAAAACAACAACATTTGCCTTATAATTGAGGCACCTGAATCCCATCAAATCAATTTTCATGAACAGTAACTGCAGTGCAGCAACAGCAACAAAAAAACTTAGGAGACTCTGAACATTCTAATTTTTAAGGATCTCATATGCTCCCACTCAGGAGAATAGAACTAATGCTCCCACACTTTATTTCTCTTCCAAAAATAGCCGGCCCTGTGAAGAAAAAAAGAGATAATGAAGACCAGCTGCCTACCTTCGCTGGTAGCCACATTCTTCTGGGCTTTGGTGGGTGTGTGATCTGTACTTGAACTCACGTCAGATGAGATGCTCGAGCTGCCTTTGCCTGGAAGAAACAGGAATGAGCAGCTTTTGAGATTTGTCATTTCAGACCTGGACCATGCCTTCCACACGGTCCCACACCAAGCCATATCACTAATTTCCAAGAAAGCCGCTATAATACAAAGAATGGAGTTTATTAAGTTTTTTTGCCTTATGCATTAAATATCTTTTGGGAAATATGATCCATGTTATAGTAGAAGTAAAGTCCTCTGATAATATAGCTTGACTATAAACTCAGACAAGATTATAAAACATAGTCAAATATGATAACATAATCTCTTTTTGGCATAGATGTGAATAAGAAAGTACATGTGGGGAACACATCTCCTGCATTAATTTTTTATTTGCAACTATAAATTATGCATTTTTCAATAAAGGAAATAAGCAAAGAATAAGGCATAATCAGAGGAGCAAGAGCCTGCTAACTCCAAATAGCTGCATCACATCAAAAAACGAATTCCCTGCTTCAATAGGTCCTTCTTCAAAAACAAAACACAACAAAAAACATTTCATTTTTCTAATGCAGTGGTTCTCAACTGGAGATGATTTTTCTGTTCAAGGGGACATTTAGCAGTATCTGGTATTATTTTCGGTTGTCACAAATGAGCCAGAAGATGCTACTGGCATCTAGTGGGTACAGGCCAAGCATGTTGCTAAACATCTTAGAATGCACAGGGCGGTCCCCACAAGAAAGAATTATCCAGCCCAAATCTCAATAGTACCAAGGGTGAGAAGCCCTGGTCTAAATAATCTTAGTTCAAGGCTGAGTTTCTACCCTTCTACCTTTAATATAGTCATATACATTAATATTACTAAACATTCTTCAAATTCAAATGTCACATGAAAGTCTGTAACTATGAACCACACTTTACTGCCCAGTGATGGAGAAACCTACTGACTGTGGTGGGAAGACTCCTAAGACGCCCTCACGGTATCCAGGTCCGCATCATCTCCTCCGCCTTGAGAGTGGGCTGAAACTGTGACTGGCCTCTAACCAATAGGCTGTGGTGAAGGTAAGGCATTTTGCAGATGTAAAGTCCCTAACAAGTTAACTGAATTAATGACAAGGGAGATTATTCTGGGTGGGCCTGACCTAATTAGGTGAATACCTTAAAAGACGGCCTGGAGGAGAGAGACCCTTCCTGCTGTCTTCGAAGCAGCAAGCTCCCCAGTCAGTTCTACAGCTACAAGAAAATGAGTTCTGGCAACAACCAAGTGAGCACTGAAGAGGACTGTGAGCATCAGAGGACAGCCCAGCCCTGGCCAATGGCTTCACTGCAGCACTGTGAGACCCAAACAAAAGATCCAGCTAATGTAGGCTCAGAACTCTGATTCCAGGAAACTGTGGAATAATAAATGCTCCTATGTTAAGCTGCTAAGTTTGTGGTAATGTTTTTATTCAGCAATAGAAAGCTATTGCTGGACGGGCACGGTGGCTCGTGCCTGTAATCCCAGCACTTTGGGAGGCCAAGGTGCATGGATCACTTGAGGTCAAAAGTTCAAAACTAGCCTGGCCAACATCGTGAAACCCCATCTCTACTAAAAATAGAAAATTAGCCGGGCGTGGGGGCACATGCCTATAATCCTAGCTACTCAGGAGTCTGCCGCAGGAGAATCGCTTGAACCCGGGAGGCGGAGATTGCAGTGAGCCAAGATTGTGCCACTGCACTCCAGCCTGGGCAACGGAGTGAGAGCCCGTCTCAAAACAAAAACAAAACAAAAGAAAGCTATCGCTAATGACCGGCTAGTTATATCACAGATGAATTCTTTTTGCTCCACAAGTGATGATCAAAACTCTTACGTGCAGCTGAGAAACATCATTTTCCAACAGTCTTTTCTTCCCCGTGGTAAATGCAATGAACTGAATGTTTATGTCCTTCCAGAATTCACATGATGAAATCCTAACGCCCAAGGTGATGGCATAAGGAGATGGGGCCTTTGGGAAGTGGTTAGGTCATGAGGACTCTGCTTAGTGCCCTTATGAGACATCCCACAGAGCTTCCTTGCCCTTCTGCCACATGAGGACACAGTGGAAGACTATTTATAAAGCAGGAAGTGCATCCTCACCAGACACTAAACCTGCCGGCACCTTGATCTTTGACTTATCCGTCTCCAGAACTGTGAGAAATACATTTCTGTTGTTTATAAGCCCCCCAGTCTATGGTGTTTGGTCATAGCAGCCCGAATGGACTAAGACACTACAGAACTCTAGTTAAGTAGCATAAGCTTACAATCTAAATTCATACAGAGTAGAACTCCTCAGACTTTGGAGTTTTGTTTGCTTATGATGAAAGTCACGGAACAATCCAGGCTGATGGTTAATATCACTTGAGGAGGGAATGGCTCAGGTGATATTACCGATGTGAGTATCAGGGAACTCAGAAACATGGCCATCATTTCCTCTCACTATCGCCCATTGCTCATTGGGACTTAGGCTCTGAACAAATCTGTTATTCCCTTTGTCCCCACCCCTTCCACAACCTCTACCCTCAGAATTAACCAAAACAATGCAGTAATTATCCATTTGTTTTTGCCTAACCAGCCTTTGTAGTCTGGCAGCTGTGGCCATTTATCTGCCATGGTTCATCTTTGGAAGTTGGTTGACATGGCAGACTGCGCACCTAGTTAGAAGTATGTCCACATGGCCTCTGACCCCAGTCTACCACTCTCTTGCTTTCTGACCTTTGACATTCACTTCTCCCCCTGCAGCCTCAGTATCCATATCTGGTAGGGGAAACTGCTGGAAAAACAATTCCTAGCAGCTCAATCTATAATTCTTTGAGTTCATTACTTCACTCCTCAAACCTCTATAATCCAAACCACTCCATTTACTAAGGCAAATAACATTATTGTGCAACATCAATACGTAGACTTAAATTATTTTTATGATATTGTTGCTTAGTGATGTGCAAATGGAAAACTAGAAATAAACTCCATATGCTCTAGCTCTGACTCAACAATAAAACTAAAACAAAGTAACAAATTAAATGTAAAAACAATAAAATCCATAACATTCAAATTAACGGCATTAGTTTAACATGATGGATGATGTTATTTTGCTGAGATTAAACTGTCGTTCAAAATTTAAATACAGTATTCGCTGCTAAAGCCAATGTTCTCTTGGTTTTGGCATGCACGTGCCCACTCCAGGCTGCGTGAGGACTCACTTGCATATCACTTTCCTCAACTCAGGGAACCCTTCCCTCCTACAAAGAGATGGCATCGGGTGGCTTTCACTGAGTCTGACTGTATCAGCCACATTTTTAAGACTGCTCTTTTGTTGCTTATTCATCTACAACCACTGGAGTAGAGCGCCTTCCTTTAAACATAGGGAAACTTGGACAACATAACTCATGGCAGGACTCTCTTATAAAGGGGAAATAATACACAGCTATTCATTATTTTTAAGATTAGCATGAAAATGAAAGCACAAAATGAAACTACAAATTTCAGAGAAAATTCTCAGACACACGTGAGAACATGTGTGCTGATCCCTCAAAGGGCTGCAAACTCCAATTTAAAAATTGCTTGTTTATGAAAAAGGAGTATAAGGTTGAGGAAACAAATAATAATGTTATTTATAATAATAGCTAACAATAAGTGCATATGTTTCATTGAGCACTCTAATAAATGCTTTACATGCTTTCTCTTATTAAATAGTCATTACGCCCTACAACAGTATTTCTCAATCATTTTCTCATTATTTAACCCTCCAAGGAAACTGTTTACTTTTTTTTTCTAAGTACCCCACCCCCAATGAAATCACAACACCACAGATATACTGTATATCTCTTATGTACTATGTATGTGATTCTGCTTAATACAGTGTTTCTTGTGGGGCTGGATTGTGTCCCCTTAGGAGCATATTAAAATAAATTAGTACTTAAGTCACATTTAAAGCTTGCACCCCATAGAATACAGAAAGTAGTTTAAATTAGAATGCCAGTTTTGGGTGTTGGTGGTGAAGTTAAGTACTTTCTTTCTGAATTGCCCCATCACCATCATTGAAAATCTATGTCCTTTGATAAGTAAAACATTTTAAAGTACCTGAGAATTTAATTAATTAAGGAAATCAATATTTTGTTTTTATTTTTGTTTTCTTTTTTTTTTGGAAATGGTGTCTCACTCTATTGCCCAAGCTGGAGTGTAGTGGCACCATCACAGCTCACTGCAGACTAAACCTCCTGGGCTCAAGTGATCCTCCTGACTCAGCTTCCCGAGTAACTGGAACTACAGGAACACCACCACACCTAGCATTTTTTTTTCTTTTTTTTTTTTTTGTAGAGATGAGGTCTCATTATGTTGCCCAGACTGGTCTCAAATTCCTGGCCTCAAGCAATCCTCCCACCTTGGCCTTCCAAAGTGCTGGAATTACAGGCAAGAGCCATCATTGCCTGGCCAATAGAGTTGATTCTCATAACTTGAGATATTTAGGTTCTATAAAGTAACCATAAACACTAAATTAGCAAATCATTGCCCCAAAGGGAAACAGAGTTAGGTTCCTGTGAGCCTCTGCTCACATGTTTATCAATTGATCAACATGTCAGTTTGGTTTTTGTGTGTTTCTATTTAAAGACATCTTATTTAATACATATTGTTGATGCATTGTCATGGAACTCAATGCCAGTGGCACTGTAATTCATGTCTGAGCAAAGCTTATCTGACACATATTGGTGACATCACAGCCCTCTTGCACTTAGGAACACTACACAGCTCTTCAACACTACACTTGGGGGTCGTCTCAATGAAAACAGCAACAAAAAGTACAAAAAGCAAAAAAAAAAAAAAAAAAAAAGGCAACAAATGGACCCCAAAAAGAACACTGTGCATAGTAGGAGAGCTGAAACAGGAAGGCAGAGTGTCACCGTGTTCAGCCTCATCTGGGAAGGTATGCATTGCGCAACACAAATTTTTTACCGCTCTGCATGTATTTGTGAGTGACCCTAAAGTGCCTCAAGAGTTGATGTGGTGATTACGCATAAATTTTAGCAAGTAGGCAAATTC